ATACTTTTTACAGACAGACAGACAGACAGACAGACAGACAGACAGACAGACAGACAGACATATTTGCTATATTTACATACCTCCCCACCCCCCCCCCACCCCCTCCCATGCATGTATAAACTGAACAGTCCCTAAATTCGGCCATGCTTCACGATATTTTGCACCTCTTTTTGCTTTGAAAAACTTACCACATATAGGTTTTCTTACGCTCCATTCTGTGAAGCAAGGGACCTGTCCACTTCCCAACAGGAAATACCCCGGATGACAGGTCACGTGACATGTCGTGTTGGAGCAGCTGACGCTGCCATTGTTGACGCTTGTCAGCCAACATCGGGAAGCTGAAATGGTAAATTGATTTCTCAAAGTTGCGTGCGCATCCAACTTGACGGGCCACAAAACTGAACACAAATTCAGTAAAATTGAGAAGACAGCTTTATATTTAAAGAGGAGAATATTCAATGTTATGAATTCTTATCGAAAAAAAATCATAGCAATGCATGATAATACTCGTGTTCTGGTATCGTGGCYCGTCAAGTTCCTTAAATTTGGATGCGCACGCAACCTTGAGAAAACGGTCTATTGAAGTCGGCTGTGACTGTGACATGGCTGGTTATACTAGGAAATGGATGAAAATATTTGAACCAATCACGAGGCACAAGTTCACTGATCAGCCAATGAAAATGTACAAGGTGTCGACCACACGGCAGATCCCTACTGTGAGCTGTGATCGAGTTACAATATTCGAATTCGAACAATAAGTACGGCGGTATTCCTTGATTCCAGACTCATTTACATATCAAGCTTTACTCTATATGTTAGTATCGAAGTTGGAGTAGAGAAAGCTCACTCCATATGGTATGATCAATTCAATATTTGGTTGAAGTTGACGTAGAAAGAGCTTTTCATCCATCGTTAGCTGCAGAAATCTCTCTCATCCGAGAAACCTATTTAACATCGATTTATCTACCTTTATACACATTTTCTAGAAATCAACTCGGAATTTTTTACCGAAAAAAATTAGAGTAAAACACGACACTCGATGTTTGATATGCTCAGCGTTTTCCTCGTTTCAGCGTCAGAATTTTCACAAAAACAACGAACAGTGGAGTAAAGATAAATAAATTCAACTACAAACACTTTGAAACTCCACGGACCTTCACTGGAAGGTTCAAGAAAACTAGAGTTGAAAATTGACAAATTTACAGACGTTTGTATGTCTTGGGTGTACGTTATACCCCGCACATTTTCAGCTTAAGTTTTCTCGGCCGATATATCACCTGACATAATAAATATTTGTAAGGTAGTAAAGTAAAGGTAGCTATTTCCAGTGCTGGTATTGGTTTTTCACTCAGCTTAATCTTAACTCATTGGAATTTGCGACCGCCATTTTGGCAAATGGTCTTTTTTGTCGAGACGGCAAATTATACGATCCAGTTAGTTTTTGAGAACGATTGCAATCAGACATTTTGTCAAAAATAACATTTTCTTGACTTCAATATACCAGAGCGAGAAAGAAAAAGAAAAAGTACAATGGTACTTGATTATTGCGTTTACATTTAAAATGAAACAAGATGTAAACACATGCTTTCTTTGTTCACTCCGGCTAAGCCGGAGTCTGTCTGAAATTTTAAGCGTAGCTTGATTTTAAAACGATCTGAAGAAAAGAAAGGGGCTTAAATCTGAAAAAAAGAGACAAAATTCACGTCCGTAACTGCTTGACCGAAAATGCGCGCGCTAAAAGTGTTCACGAATTTAAGAACATGCTACAAGTAGAATCTGGAAAACATATTAGCAAAATACATATAGCGAAAACTTTAATTTGAAAGTTAAATTCAAAATATTTCGAAGCTGATCATAACAGACAGCTTCGCCAAAACGGAGTGAAAACTTTTAAATGCTATGAAACTTCAATACCAAACTTTCCAAGAAAAAAAAGTATACGTATATAGGTAGTGTATGATAATATATATGAACTATATATTTGTACTGCGGTTGTAATGCGCTAAATTGAGCTGACCCTCGCAGTATATGAAGCAACTTATGCAGCTGCAAATTGAAAGACTCAGAAAAAATTCTCAGTCTTGAACGGGAATTGAACCTTTACCTTGTGGCGATTCCGTAGCCATGGAATGAACACTAAGCTACCGAGTCTCATATGTATATAGGTTTAATCTTGAAGTTCAGCCTTTTTTGGATAAAATGTGATTGAATGACAATGTATTAAATATACTCCAATTTACCTTTTGTTGAAGAGAATAGAGTACACAACTGCCATATTTGAATAAGAAAAACCACTTTGAGCATAAAAGGGTTCATCTGCCGGAAAGGGAGAAAATGTAATGAATGAACGAATTTAAAGAAGAAGAAGAATGCTAAGACAAGAACATGAAGAACAAGCCAGGATATGAAAACTGACAAGAAGAAGTATATAGTTGTAGTAGAATAAGAGGGAGAAGAAAAAGAAAAAGAAGAAGAAGAAGAAGAAGAAGAAGAAGAAGAAGAAGAAGAAGAAGAAGAAGAAGAAGAAAAAGAAGAAGAAGAAGAAGAAGGAGAAGAAGAAGTAGAAGAAGAAGAAGTAGAAGAAGAAGAAGAAGAAGAAGAAGAAGAAGAAGAAGAAG